TCGTTACTGAAGAGTCACTTCTGAGTCATGGCAACCTCCCTCAGGTTTCCAAGACTATAAATCTTTACCGGAGGAGCCTGCCCATCATTACACCTCTGGAGTGACTGGTGAATTCAACCTGCTAACCTTTCATTCATCAGACAATGTCCACTGCCACCAGTGTTCTTTTTGGTGCCATAGGGATCTGTATTTCTAAAACCTCCTTTCTACTTTTTTTTTCCTTTTCACTTTTACACACACATTATTGGGAAAGGAAAAGATGGTGATTTTAAAAACATATATTATGGTACTGTTTTCTATTTGAGAGGGGGAACAAAATTGCCCCTTATTTTCATAATACAAACTTTAAGGATTTTTTTTCACACTTAGAGAAAATAATTATACCTCTTTAGCAGTGAACAAGACCCCTAATTTTTTTTCTTTAAAAAAAATTACCCATTGATCTTACTTCAGTGTATGCGCCTGTAATTTCTACTATCTTTGGCCTTCTAAAGACTCAGTGACTATTTTTGGAAATGTAGGTACTAAAATATTAGGAATAAAGCTGTAAATCTTGAACAGGACTTAAGCATGGATTGAAATTGAGAGGATTAGCATGTGGCCCAGAGGCTAGTTACCATTAAAGTGAATACCATGTCGAACATTGAATCGGGCTGTAAGCTAAGAAGACTTAATAGCAATTAGGGAGTAGGAAATTCCACTGAGCTCCTTTAAATTTTTCAGAGCCTGTGATCATATTTCATCCATAATTCTTTAGAAACTACTATATGATATTGTGGGTGAAAAAATTATATTTTCTAGATGAAACACACACTGGAATGTTAAATGAATTTCCTAAGGACATAGAGTCTATTAGTAGGGGTGGTTCAAAATAGACCAAATGTGCTCAAGTATATCTGTATCATTTTTTCCAGCAGCATGTGTCCACTTCATGTCTCTGTCTCACATTTTGGTAATTATTACAATATTTCAAACTTTTTTATAATGCTATTGTACATTAGACTACAATTTATTATCATTTAATAGACTACAATACTTAACTTTTTCATGTACTAAGAAACAAAAACAAATTCATGTGACTCACTTTATTGAGATATTCTTTTTGATATGGTGGCCTGGAACTTAGCCAGCGTATCTTTAAGGTTTACCTGTCTGTCTGAGTAGGATTATTGGAGAGACAACATTTAGTCTAACTCTGTGCTTATGATGAAATAAGCCATCATTTTAGCATCTTGGTCTCTTGATGAAAATTATGGTTCTTACGATAGGATTTCCTTCTCTCTCTCTCTTTTTTTCCTCCTCCCTTGTGCTGTTAGGATTTCCAGCAGAGTGTTACTGTGGTTCTCTTTCAAGATGAGAATACATTAGTCTCGGCAGGAGCTGTGGATGGGTAAGTCTGATTCTTGGTTCTTTTGATGCCCTCCCTCTCAGAAGCTGTGGTGGAAAAGTTACTTAGTTAATTTAACTGAATGTGTGCACTTTCAACACTGCTAAGAAGAAAAACTACAGGTCACGCTAGGAAATGCCAGTAAGGGTTCATGTCCAAATAGTTAAATGAGATATTGTATAACTAATAGGAATTATTACTATTGTTAAAAAGAGAAAGCTGAGTGAGTTGTTTCTTTACATTGCATTGTACAGTTTAGTTAACTGTTAAATTGAAAGGCAATATTTCTTTCTTTTTTATTTTCTTATTTTTTGTGTGTGTACTGTCAAATCAGATCTGTCTGGTACAGGAGGAGATTGCCCCTCCTCCAGCAGAGCATCTGGTGGATCCGAACTGCATACTTCTGGGATTGCAGTGCAGCTTCTTGCCACTAGGCCACCAGAGCTCCCTAGAAAGGCAATATTTCTATTATTTTAGATTCAGGAAAGCCCTAAAAGAAGGAACCTGCTTCTGTGCATGTAATTGGTATTCCTGGGGGTATGTTAGATTTCAAACTAGATAGATTGTAATGCCTAGTGACTTTCATTTGCCTTCATAATTGATCTGAAAATCTGGCTTCCAAATTAGTCTGGGGTACTATTTGATGGCTTGCATTATATAATGCATCCTTTTTGAGGATGAGGACTCTTTATCTACCTCTTTTCTCTCCCAAAACACTCCTCCTTTCAAAAAAATTATCACTTAGTAAGGATTTTTATTCCTTAGAATGGATGAAAAATCTGGATGTTAAGTCAAATCTCAGGCATGAAGGAAGGGTGGCCCAAAGGTTTTAAAAAAATGCTTTTGAATAGCTGTGTAAGCTTCATTTCCCACCGAAATCCCCCAATGATACTAGTCTTTTAAGGGAACTCTGGTGGCCTAGTAGGTAAGAGATGAAAATGCCTGCTAGCCCAAAAGCATGCGCTTTGAACCCACCAGTTACAGCATGGGAGAAAGAAAGTCTCCTCCCTTGCTATTTACATTCCCTGAAAACCTGCTGGAGGATCAGCAGTGAGTCAGTTCTGACATAGCAACAGCAACATGCCTTTTACACAAAGCATGTGTTTTCAAGTTTCCTGTAAACTAGGCGTTTAGGATTAAAATAGCTATCCAGTAGATAAAAGGGCAAAAAAAAATATTTAATTTGAGCATTAAGGAGGTGTGTATGGAATAGATATGAGTAGAACTTATTACTTGTGATGTTCATGCAGCATATTAAAGGTTTAGGAAATGGTTTTTCTAAACACAATGGAACAATGATTGTCAGCACTCAGCCTTCATCTTTCTTTCCGCTTTCTTGTGTGAACTCAAGGTAACCCACCACTGGGTCACATCACATCTGCTTCCGTTCTGCTGGAATTACAAGCCTGTCTCTGTAGACAACAGTATGAGATAGTTTGATCTGTTTCCCAGTGAGATAGTACTTCGTTGACATGCCAGAGAACTTAGATTAAAAGTCATTTCACATTCAGTGTAGTTGAAACTAGAAGAGTTTGGGAGAGAGTCTACAAAATAACTATTGTTTTATCTTGAATTAGGATAATTAAAGTATGGGATTTGCGCAAGAACTATACAGCTTACCGACAAGAACCCATAGCAGCCAAGTCTTTCCCCTACCCAGGTAGCAGTACTCGTAAACTAGGTAAGCCACTGCGTAAATCGTAAGAAATATAAGTTTTGTTGTTTTGTTTTATTTTAATTTAATTTAAAAGTTAGTACCACACAACAACAGTTTATAGGCCTGAAAAATTTGTACTATGTTATTTTGTCTTTTTAAAGGTTAAAGGACAGAAGAAACTCAGACTAATATTTTCAGGGGAAAATTTCTGTTGATCTTCCCCTGGAATGATCTATTTTTGCCTCCATGATTTAGCCTCAGATGTGCTCATTGTCAGTCAGGTCATGCTAACTAATGTTTTCTTTGTTAGGGTACTCAAGTCTGATTTTGGATTCCACTGGGTCTACTTTGTTTGCTAACTGCACAGATGACACTATCTATATGTTTAATATGACTGGATTAAAGATTTCTCCAGGTAAGATTTATTTGTTCAAAATTTCTTTTAATTAGAAACTTAACAGCATTTTTGTAAATGATTGCTTAATGTTGTGAGGTTACCCCCTCCCCCAAAACCAAGATTATAATGGAATGTGTTAGACTTCATTTTAGTGGAATTTTCTTGTATACATTTTTCTTGTTATAATTTTATATGTAAATAGAATTATCTGTCTAGTAACTTAATAAGCTCACTAATGTGTCTTACCTGAAAAGAAACTTTTTAAGCTATGCTCAGTATTATCTCAATTTTTTGTTTATTAAGCTATGGAATAGAGGGATATACTGCTCTGCTTTTGTTTTATTTAGAGACTATTACTTAAAAAGGACATCTGACATTTTCAAGCTCCTAAAGTTGCTCTAACCTACCTCAGCCCCTTCCTTAATGTTGGACAAAGGCCTTTTACTACCTTTTAAATATAACCTAATTTCCACCTATTTCCCTCCTAAAGAAAGTTTAAAACTAGAATCTCAGACTTAAAACAATGACATTTTTGTAGAGTCATAAAATGACTTCAAACACTCAATTTTCTCAAGCATATTTTAAGAAAATAACTCAGGCCATATTATTTACTGAGATAATTACCAATTATATATTAATAATTTAATCCTTCCTTATGTGTAGCTAACTCTTTTATGCTCAAGCTCCAGAGCTCCACAAAACTTAAGATGGACAGATAAATTAAAATTTCCAAATAGTACTAACCTTAGAAGTTTATAAAGACAGGATCAAGCCATTTTGGAAGTTTGTTAGTGTGGCAACAGCACCATTGGCATTTTTTATCCTCCATGTTGAAGATAGTCTTGGTGACTACTAGCTGAGAGGTCAGTAGTTCGAATCCACCAACCAGTCCATGGGAGAAAGTTGAGCAGTCTCCTTCCATAAAGACTTACAGCCTTGAAGCCCTAATGAGGGTTACCATGCATGGGAGTCAGCTCAGTGATAGTGGGATATTTTTTGGTGAGGAGCAGATTAAGTAGATAAGATTTTTTTCAAACATCTTTTCCTAGTTTGCTAAATGGAATAAAAATTTAGATAGCTTCAGATTTACTTAGTCATATAAAACAGACTTTTCAGGACCTTTAAAAAAAAATTAATCCAATTGTGTTATCAGCTGTTAAAACCCTCTTTCATCCTTTTACTATCTGGTGAAGCACAAAGGGGACCTTGAAGTTGTTCCTCTGTTATGAATCAGATATGTCCATAGCTGCTTAACTAATAATTTAGAAATTTTTTTTCAATGTTTCTGAAATAATTTGATTGGCTTGTGTAGATGGATAGATCAGTATCACTTCTTAGAAATGGAGTGAGGTGTACCTGTATGTGTGTGAGACAGACAACTTAAGCCTAGTTCTTAATTTTTAACATTGGCTGTTTATCCTTTTTAAAACCTTCAGAAAGGGTCCTGGGCTCAGTGCTTGATCTTCTATACTTTTTATTTGTAGTACAGTACTAAGTGATGTTCATAGGATGCAGGACTTTAACAACACAATCAAAGAAAGACTGAATTGAGCTAATTAAAGTTAATCCAGGCTTTAAGAAGATTTTTAGTAAGAGTGAAACAGTAACAAAATACATCACATTAGCCTTTCTTAGACCAGCAGAGGGCAATAAGTAAATACTTGTTCGGTTAGAAATGCAATCTATAGTTTTCCATTCATAGTTTGAAATTGAGAAAGATGAACCATTATACTGGTATTCATACTAACGACACAAAACTACTGCCATCAAATCTATTCAAACTCATGCTGGTTCTCCATTAGGTTTCTGAGGGTATAAATATTTATAAAGGAGACTGCTGGCTCATCTTTCTCTTACAAAGCAGCTAGTGAATTTCAGCTACCAACTTTTGGTTAGCAGCCTAACACATATTGCACTACATACACCCCTTGGATAATCTTCAGCAGAATCTTGCTTGCATGTGATATTAGTGATACTGTTCAATAATTTCCACACTCTGTCGGATAACCTTTCTTTGGAATGGTATTATCCAAAAATGACTGGAACAGCACATCAACAGAGAACTACCTGAAGTGCCGGCTGGATTTAGAAGAGGCCGTGACACTAGGGATATTGTAGCTAATGTCAGATGGATCTTGGCTGAAAGCAAAGAGTACCAGAAAAATGTCTATCTATGTTTCATTGACTATGCAAAGGCTTTTGACTGTGTGGATCACAACAAACTGTGACTGACTCTGAAAAGAATGGGAATCCCAGAACACTTGATTGTGCTTATGAAAAACCTAGGCTTGGACCAGGAGGCAGTCATTCAGAGCAGAGCAAGAAGACACTGCACGGTTCAAAATTGGGAAGGGTGTGCGTCAAGGATGTGTCCTATCTCCATATCTTTTCAATCTATATGCAGAACAGATTATCTGGGAGGCGAGGTCTATGAGAAGTGTGGCATCAGGATTGGAGGTAGATTTAACAGCAATCTGCGTTATACGGATAACACAACCCTGCTTGCTGACACTGAGGAAGACCTGAAGCGCTTGCTGCAGAAGGTCAAGGATTGCAACCTTCAATACGGATTGAAGCTCAGCATCAAGAAAACAGAGATTCTCACCACTGGGCCAATTGGTAGCATCATGATAGATGATGAAGAGATTGAGATTGTTGACAGCTTCAGTTTGCTTGGCTCTACAATCACCTCTTGGTACCAGCAGCCAGGAAATTAAAAGACGAATTGCATTGGGAAAGTCTGCTGTCAGAGACCTCTCCAAGGTACTGTGACTCAACGATGTCAGTCTGGAGACTAAGGTGCACCTGATACGGACCATGGTCTTTGCAATTACTTGATATGTATCAGAGAGCTGGACAGTGACTAGGGATGATAGAAGGAGAGTTGAGCTGTGGTGCTGGAGAAGAATATTGAATATACCATGGACTGCTAGGAGAACAAACAAGTTCATCCTAGAGATGGTGAAGCCAGGCTTCTCCTTGGAGGCAAGGATTCTGAAGCTATGTCTGATATACTTGGGACATGTTGCAAGGTGGGATCAATCCTTGGAGAGATAAGTCATGCTTAGAAGGGTGGAGGGACAACACAGGAGAGGAAGACCTTTGTTGAGATTGATTGATTCATTGATTGATTCAGTCACTGGGGTAGTGCGGATAGGTGTGTCAAAGACAATAAGATTGGCAAAATATAGAGCAGGATTTAAGGCTGTTGTACATAGGGTCACTATGAGTCGCAGGCGACTCAACAGCACATAACAACAACAACAACACCACTAGGAGCCCATTTTTTCAGTGGGCACTTAGCTGTCACAGTGGATCTGTCATAAGTATATCTGAATTGATTTATATCCTGCTTTCACAAAAAAGTGTTGGATAAGGCAAGGTATTTTACAAGGCTTTTTCTTTAAGAGTTGTAAATACAAAGCTGTTTCCCAGTTTATTCTGGCAAAAGAGAGGAATTTCTTTGAACACATGGGAAATTGATTAAGTTACTTCATGTGGTGGGAGAGTGGACTATGATTTTTTTTTTAATTGAGATTTTATTGTCAATTTATAAAGAACTGGGATTTCCATTCATTCATTGTTGCACATTCTTCCCGCCCCCATTTCCACTTTACTACTTTACTATGCAGCTCTTATTCTGGACTCTTGTCATACCAATAATACCAAATCATATATTCCTTTTATACAATTCTCTACCTCGTCTGTTTCAATGCCATGTACTTTATTTATCCCCTTTTTTCTTAGTATCTCCCCAGTCTCCCTGTCAGTCGTGTTTTATAACAGTAGCATTATACAGTATTTGTCTTTTTGTGATTGAGATATTTCACTCAGCATAATGCCTTCCCTGGTCACCCAGTTTGTATAATATTTCATGAGTTCTTTGTTTTTCAGTGCTACATAATATCCCATTGTATGAATATACCACAGCTTCTGTGTCCATTTATTTCTTGATGGGCACTTGAGTTGTTTCCAACTCCTTGCTATAGTGAACTAAGCAGCAATAAACATGGGTGTGCATGGATTATGATTTTTTTTGTTTGTTTTTACACTGCCTAAATATCTCCATATGTTCTCCAAAAACAAAATTTGCTCTTGCATTTCCTAATAATGCTTTGATGCCAAAGACTTCAAGTTTTAGCCTATTTAGTTACTTCTTTTGCAACTCTTCTGCTAGAAGCATTTTCATTTGTTTGTTTATTTTATGCTTGTTTACTTACAGTTCATATACATTGTTTTTCGCACTGTATCTTTCCCCTTTCCTTTACCTACCCCTCCCTGTACGCATCAAAGTATGTGGCTGGGTTAAAAAGTTTTCCACATCACAGATACTATCATCATGCAACAACTATTTGAGAATCCGCTGTTTAAAGCACTGTAAATGATCAAAGAGTAAGACAGGAAATGTATTCTAGAGGTCTTGGAATCTTAGAAAGAGTAAGACCTTTGTGTTACGCATTGAAAAGAGGCCAGCCTGACTTGGCCTGTGGCTGCCACCTTTTTTTTTTTTTTTAAAAATAATGGTGTCATCTTTTACTATTTTTTTATTTGTTACTCAATATAGGTAACAAAGGACTATTCTTTAAGAGGGCAAGAGGGAAGGGCAAAGCCTCCCTCACCCTCACCCCTGCCCAGGAATGCAGGTAGTGCCTCTTAATGGTACTTCTGTAAAAATTGTTTGAACCCCTTGTAAGAAAGGCAGTAGCTGAATGCCAGTAAGCTGTTGACACTATAGAAAGCCCAGTGACATCCCCCTTCTTTACAATTGATGTACCAGTAGTGGCCCTGCTGGATCCTTCCTACAGTGCTGCTTGGAGTGCAGTCCCACAACTATACCCAGCAGGGCAGCTTCCCTACTTTGACATCCATGAGCTTCCTCTCCTGTTTATCAGTACCCTGGAAGCCGACTTAAGAGTCCTGGATGTCCTTTGGCCTTGACTGCCTTCTTAACCTTTCAGGATTTTTTTTTTTTAATAATTTCTATCAACTCTCTGGCTGGCTCCATACCAGCCATCTGAGCTGAGATCAAAAGACTGGATCAAACATATAACCTTTTCCAACAGTTACCTTTATTCTCTCCAAGTAATAAAACAAAACCAAACCCACTGCTGTCAAGTCAAGGAGATTGTCCATCTCTTTTCCCAGCTTTAAATCTTTGCCAGAAGAGACTTACTTTACCTGCAGAGCCTTTGGTGGATTTGAATCACTAGCCTTTCTGTTAGCAGCCCAACGTATTACGCACTACACCTTTTAGGGCTCTTTATCAATGCGCTGATCCTTTTATTTGGTGGCTATCCTTTGCTATCTGCCTTGATACTCAATATGGTAATAAAACTTATGAAGGCAAGTATCCTGTCTACATTTATTTGAACATTGAAAAGAACAAGAGCCAACAGATTTCTTGCTTTTGTCTGGCAGTGGCTAGCTTCAGTGGACACCAGAACTCTACCTTTTATGTTAAATCCAGTCTTAGTCCTGATGACCAGTTTTTGATCAGTGGCTCAAGTGATGAAGCTGCTTACATTTGGAAGGTAAGTTGCTAAAAATGATACTGAAAATATATGTGCAAGTATTTCCTCTGTCCAGAATGAGATAAATTTAGTATACTTCTATATTATTAACTCTTTTTTCTATTGGGAGCTTATCAAAGATTTTCTTCCTTCTCTAACAGCCAAAACTTCACTGATTGTTATAAAATGTTAGGCTTTCTGTCTAGCACTTTTTTGAAATTAACATCCATAGTCTAATGGATTATCAGCAATTTGAAAATTCAGAAGAATGGACAGAGTCTTAACAACTTTATCATGCTACTTGAAAAAATGTTTGATACTTCCCTTTCTTCCTCATGTTTTCCATCTGTCGCCTTCTCATTCAATATATGGTGCTTTTACACAAAACAATCACTTAAAAATATGTGCTTAATAATTCTTTATCATCTTCATGGCTGCTCTTCAAAATACTAATATGTATTTGTTGTTGTTGTTGTTATGTGCCATTGAGTTGCTTGCAACTCATAGTGACCCTATGTTCAACATCTCTAAACTCTGCTCTGTCCTGTGCCAGTCTCATTGTCTCTGACACACTCATCCCAATTGCCCCAGTCACTGAATCAATCCACCTCCTAGAGGGCCTTCACCTCCTGCACTGTCCCAAGCATGATGTCCTTCTCCAAGGACCGGTCCCTCCTTACAACATGACCAAAGTATGTCAGACAAAGTCTCTGGCTTTATTTTTTTAACACTATTAATGTACTACTCTCCTAACTTTTTACGGCTTTTTAATTTGTCTGTATTTCTTTACTTTTTAAAATAACTGATTCTAAAGTGATTGTTATAACCGGAGAACTGTAAAGCTGCCCATTTGAAGCCCAGGAAAGAAAATGGAAATGTTTACCTAACAGCAGTTGTTGACCCTGAAAAATGGTCGTTAGGTAGAAATAATACTAGCCAGCGTTTGTTACGTACATAACATGAGCTGAGCACTTTCCAGAGTTATACATGCTAGAGTTCAGAGAAAGTAAACTGTTAAGCCATTGTTTATTAGGACTGTAAGTTAGGTGTCTTCTGGATGTCGCTGTGATTTCTTAAAAGTTTCATGAGTCCGTTCAGTTTAACAGTAATGAGGCTTCCTACATTTAGTATTTTAAAGTTATAATGTCTTAAACTTTATAAACTTGTGGCATTTCAATATTATCAAATCCCTTTCTTCTGACAAGAGAGACATACCATTCATAGTCCTGCAGACTCTTTAGGAAGTTATTTCTTTATTACTGTCATGAGACAAGAGTGAAACCCACTGGCATGAAGCTTTATTAATCCTTCCCCGAAGTTACATCTAGTACTGGAAATTACTTCTTTATATGTTGTTGTTGTAGTTGTTGTTGCTATGTGTCATCGAGTCGCTTGCGACTCATAGCGACCCAATGTACAACAGCCCTAAACTCTGCTCTGTCCTGTGCCAATCTCACTGTCTCCGACACACTCATCCCGATTACCCTGGTCACCGAATCAATCCACCTCATAGAGGGCCTTCCTCCTGCGCCTGCCCTCCACTCTTCCAAGCATGATGTCCTTCTCCAAGGACCGGTCTCTCCTTACAACATATCCAAAGTATGTCAGATGAAGCCTCAGAATCCTTGCCTCCAAGGAGCAGCCCGGTTTAACCCTTTCTAGGATGAATCTGTTTTCTTAGCAGTCCATGGTACCCTCAATACTCTTCTCCAACACTAAAGCTCAAAGGCATCAATTCTCCTTCTATCCTCCTTAGTCACTGTCCAACTCTCTGATGCATAACAAGTGATTGCAAAGACCATGGCCTGTATCAGACGCACCTTAGTCTCCAGAGACACCATTGCTCTTCAGTACTTTAGAGAGGTCCCTAACAGCAGACTTCTTTGTATACCTCCTTAAAAATCACCTCATTGCTATCAAGTCAGAACTAATTCAGACCTGACCTCCATTGTATTTTCAGAGGCTGTAAAATTGCACCAGAGAAGATTGCCCATCTTTCTTCCTCAGCACTGGTGGATTCAAACCACTTGCTTTAGGATTGGCAGCACATCTGCGTATTCACTAGGCCACTGTTGTTCTGTGCCATTGAGTGAGAACCAACTCAAGCTGACTCTGTGAACAGACCTGAGTCCCGTCTTATCCTGTGCTGTCTTCACCGTCTCTGATGCACTTGAGCAGCCTATCACTGCAGTCACTTTGTCAGTTCATCTAAAGAAGGGTACCTTTCCAAGAATTTGGTCCCTTTCCAAGGAATAGCCTTTCCTAGCAACATTTCCAGGAAACTCTTATCCCATTGACACTGTTCATAAAGTCCAGCTTCACAGATTATTTGCTCAAAATTAAGATTGAATAGATACAGAGATAGGATACACGCCTGGTGTATATCCTTCCTGATTTTAAGCCATACATTGTTCTCTTGTCCCATTCAGACAACAGCTTCGTGGTCTAGGTATAGATTTCGTATGAACGCAATTAAGTGTTCTAGGATTCCCATTCTTTTCAAGATTAGCCATAGTTTGTTGTGATTCATACAGTCAGATGCTTTTGCATAGTCAGAAAAACACAAATAGACATTATTCTGGTATTCTCTGCTTTCAGCCAGGATCCATCTGAAATCAGCAATGATATCCCTGATGCTACAGTATCGTCTAAACCCAGCTTGAACTTCTGGCAGTTCCCTATCTGTATACTGTTCCAATCATTTTTGGATTATCTTCAGCAATATTTTACCTGCCACCAGAGCTTCCTTTTTATACTTAGAGTTGCAAAAATGCAGCTCTGCCATAAAAGCTTCTGCTCACTAGGTGGAGATATTGCTCTATGGTATTTTTCCTCCTCTTCAATGAAAATGTGTTGGTTTTTTTTAAGTAGATATACTTACGACTCCCATATTGTCATGAGACTTCTTACCTAGCTTCTTCTCTGTGAATTCTTCTGACTTGAGCTTTAAACTTTAGTAATAGCTGTCACTAACAGTAATGCGTCTGTCTTATATTTTAACATTAAACTTCAAATTTGGTTTAATGCCCTCTTTTTGTTTCCTTTTCCCCCTCACTTTCTCCTAATTTAGCCAGATTTTATTCCAACTAAAGTCTTTGGAATTTTTTCCCTTTTAAAAAATGACTGAAATGTCAAATATAATAAATTAATTTCCAATATCACAAGCATACCTACTGAAGAAAGAGGGGGGAAAATTAGTCATTTACCTATCATTCTTTCTAACTCATTTTAAAGCCATATGTTATATATAACTCATTTCCATCAAGTCAGAACTGACTCATAGCTCACACTCCAATAAATTTTTAGAGAGTATAAATTTCACAGGCAGAGATTGCCCATCTTTCTTCCATGAAGCTGCTTGGGGATTCAAACTCGCAGCTGGTACCTTGAAGTTAGCAGCACAACTCTCTTATGTATTAGACCACCAAAGCTCCCTTCTTCAACACACATGTTTACTGTTACATATATAATTACTTGTAAGAAAGACATATCATTTCTGTGCCAATTCTTAAAATTCATCTAGCTCTCTTCTTTAGCAATAAAGACCTTTTTTGTTTGTTGGTATATTTGTATTGGGAAAATAAGGTTGAGGGTATGCTTCCTCTCTTGAAAGATTAAAAGTACTTGGCTTCTGCCCATAATCCATGTTCAGATATCCAATCAGTGGCCACTGCATCCATGACTCCCTTCTCAATACCTCTGCTAAGTCACATGGCAGTGCTAAATGACGTGGTTCAGACATGATGTTCTCCTGCCTGTCTACACATAACTTAGAACAGGCTCTGATATTTGAGATCCTGGCAAGCTTACTGCTCCTAAAATTGAATTTGCCTGGTGACGTGACTCAGGGTGGCGTTGCTAGGGTTGGTGTTACCCAATGCAGTAACTCATGGTGTCACGCCCTTCAGAGACCTCCTCTCACACAGGACCTTACGGAATCCTTAATAATCCTTATTATTAGTTTTAATCATAAACCAGTATCTGATTAATATAGTTATAAATTACTTAACTGTAGTATTTGTTAGATCATATGAATACTAAATCAATTGTTTTGTATATTCTTTCAACACTGAAATAAATTATTAGTAACTTAATGCATACTTTTCTTTTTTAATTATTACCTTATTCTCAAAAAAAATATTACAGGGTCACATATTTATTGCTACAATATAGTAACTAAAACACCAGAAAATTTGAGGAAATTGGAGATAATAAAAAGATAGCAGGAATTAAAATAAGAGCATGTGCTTGTTGTTCATGTGATCATTGTAATTGCATAGCAGTGATAGCACTGACTGACATGTATTTAGAAGGTTTAGAAAGTAAATTAGCATAGAGCTCCAGCTGGATATATTCTGATGCCTGTACACTGGCCATGTGAAAATACTTTTGTTGTTACAACTTTGTTGTTATAACCAGAGTATTTTTGTAAATAAAAAGAAAACAAAAATAGTAATAGATTTCTATTTAAATACTACATAAAAATTTTGTAGATAAACATTTTGGTGCCATACCTACCCTAATGATACCATTGATGGCTAAGTTTCTTTTTTCCATGGTTTAAAAAATATTAAAAAGCTTGGCCTGTATTTAAAAGCATATTGGGTCTTGTTACTGTTAATGTTGTCTTCAAATGCTGTCATGTGTCCAAGAGGGCAGAATTCTCTCAAGTCTTATCATTACCCTGTCCTACAAAGGCAGTGAATGCAAGAAAACAGAATAAAAGGGAGTTTAATTTTAATATTTTTCTTTTTCATTTCCTTCTTATAAGACCTCTAGCCCTTCTGGCCCAGTTCATCTCTGATATAGTTACTGGATAGTACCAAAGTGGTTATAAATACACTGATTTGGCACTGTCATTCTACCACTGACTGGTGAAACATTGAGCCCGACACTTTAGGAAGTGTAAATGATCTCATGGCAGAAAGAAAGATTAGATTTGATTTCCAACTAGACAGAGTAAGGAGATTTTGTGAGGAAAGGTGCTGATCATCTTTGCCTGTTAAAAGATGGAAATGTTT